GGGGCGGGGCCGGGGCTGGGGGCGGGGCCGGGGGCCGTGGAGTGTCCTCCATTTGGAGGCACAAAATATGGTAACCCTAGTGTGGCGGGGGGGCGTTGCGTGCTGAGGAATGAAAGTGAAAGTAACTCACTTCCTTGTAGCTGGCCAGGGTTGGAATGTCACACACAGCTGGCTGGGTTGGGGAAAGGGTGACCAGATGTGTGAAAAATCAGGACAGGGGGTTGGGGTAGGGTGACCAGATGTTCCACTTTTATAGGGACAGTCCCAATTTTGGTGTGTTTTTTTTCTTATACAGGCTCTTAACCCTCCACCCCCTGTCCTGATTTTTCACACTTGCTGGCTGGTCACCCTAGGTGGGGTTAATTGGTGCCTCTGTTGCCCGCCCTAAAGGGCTCGAGGGGACAACAATGGTCCGTCGCCTGGTGTGCTTGGCACCAATAAAGACACCGAGGGCAGAAAGCAAGCCAAGTTTATTTCAGAGCTCTGAAATGGCACTAGGAGACCAGCGTGTCTCAAATCCAGTGCAACAAATACAAACAAATGTTCCCTTTTATATTCCAAGCAGTTTCTGTGTGAGCCTTTGTTTTGTTACTCCCTCTTACCTCTCCCTTCCAGACAACAGTTACAGCAGGTACACCGTGTGAATGTTAGAAACTTCCCCTTCGCCTGCTTATCTCTTGGCCTTGCAAGGCCTGTTTGCAGCAGTCTTCCCCCGGCTTATCTCTACAAGTTTTGCTAGTGTGAACAAAACTACAGCTGTCTGCTAGAAAAGCTAACCCTTCCATTTCTGCTTCAGCATGTCAGCCGTTAGCACAGAAGTAGGTGAGAGTTCACAAGATGGAGTCACTGTGGTTCAGGTAGGCCCAGAGCAGAAGAGCTTCATCGGCACTTTTGGCCTTCCACTCCCCTGAGTTACCTGGTAGCTATGCCTAGTGACACCAACACCTCTATAAGACAAAGCCCCAAATTTCGTGACTGGCCCTATAAAATCAGGACATCTGGTCACCCTAGCTGGGGAGCGCGTCTCTCCCCCAGGCTGGCAGCGATCCCTCTCATCCGGGGGGAGCTGCGCAGGGCAGGATGAGCTGTGGTGGCTCCACGGATGCCCCGTCCCTGAGATCAGATGCTGGGCTAACTTCACCATGGTCCGTGGGGCTGCCGGCGGTGCCCATTGGCGTGTGATTGGACCTGAGGGCCTGCTGCTGCTGTACCCCAAGAGGTGGATTTTGGGGTCCTGCGGTTTTCCACCGATCTCCTCCTCGACTGCAGCTGTGGGCCCAGCAGGCTGGGGGTGAGCCAAGCATGCAAGCGGGACTGTGTTGCCATTTAGATTGTCATTGAACAACTTTTGTTTGCCAAAAATGCTGGCTAACAATCCCTGAATCCAATTTCAATGTATTTTTTTTAAATCAATATCTGAGCCCAAAACAGAAAATTAAGTGGTTTGTGACAGGTTTGGTTTGAGGCAGGGCGTGGGCCAGTTTTCATCAGAGAAACAAAAAATGTTGACTGGCTTCCCTATAGCCCTGTTACTGCTGAATAGAGCCCTCCGACAACCGTAATATGCTCATCCCCTTCCTAGTGTCTAGAGTGACCATCTGTTGAACTAAGATTCTCTTGCTTTTTTCCCCCAGTGAGTCAGGATAGCTTTTGCCAGCCCACAGGTTGGGCAGCCAATGTCTTACGTTTTCACAATGTTTTGTCCAACTTTCATAAAGTCAATACATGGTTAATACGAGTTAAAAAGGCCAGGGACACTTCCTTGGGAAGAGTCTGTGCAGCAGATCACGCGAGAGCTGTGAAAATGTCAGTTTCTGATGGCACTTTAGGGGCGGGTGATTTATCCTGTCTTTCTGGCAGTGCCGAAAATGTGCTGCTACGGCTCGCGTCTTTCCAAAATAAAATAAGGCACAATAGGACTTCGGTAACATTTCTGTGCTACCTTCATCTAGAGGAGATGATTCGGTGCTGACTTCATTCCGGTCACTTTGTGCTTTACCTAGGAGTAAAACTAGGGTCTATTTTCCCACTGCTTGGAAACCCAGCTTATTAAACCGGATAATGCCATTGATCTATTTACAGTAGAAGGTTGATAGAGAGTTGTAACTGATGCCCACGATACATTTAAAACTAAAAAGTGGCTTTGTAAAAATGACCTGGGTTTCCAACTCTACCGTGTCTCAGTCAGGGCGGAGCGCCTTGGGAGGTGTCTTCACATTAGCTCAAGGTCACAGACTCACGGCTATATTATATTATTTGCTTCATTCTGTCAATAAATCAGAAGTTTTTCTATAGCGCTACTTCTTTCGTGCTAGTCCACCAGCATCCCAGTGGGCTTAATTAAGTTAAACTGTTTTTAATAAAGTGCATGTGGCAAGTTTTCCAATACTGTCAGCTTAGGTTTGTGTTGCTGAGAGCAAGTCAGGCATAGGGGCACCAGTTTAATAATCCTGCCTAGGGCACCATAAATCCTAAGGACGGCCCTGATCGGACCCCTAAGTCAGGTCCATCTTGGGACCAAGGAGGCCAGACCCCGGGTCTGGACCTCCCTCTCTTTCCCCAGCCACGTAGAAATGCTTAGGGGAAACTGAGTCATCCACACAGTATTCAGAGAAAACATTAAGAACATTCCCACTTTGTCACACCCCCATCTATCCTTCTCCCCGTCCATCCATCCATCCATCCCCCTATCTTCCCTTCACCCCATTCGTCCATCCACCCATCCCCTATCTACACTTCTACCCAGCTGTCCATCTGTCCATCCCCCCATCTACCCTTCTCCCCATCCATCCATCCATCCATCCATCCATCCATCCCCCATCTACCCATCTGTACATCCATCCTCCCATCCACCATTCTCCCCATCCATCCATCCATCCTTCCCATCCCCCATCTACCCTTCTCCCCTTGACTCCATCCTTCCCCATGCCGATTGCCATGAACCAAACTCTAAATAATTCCCAAGCTGGACTGCAGAGGATTATCCCAGGCAGAGACAGCCATAGCTCCCTGATTGTCCGTGCCCGTCCCATCGCTGTCATTTTGGGCATGAACGGATGGCCCCAGGTTGAGGAGCTGGTCACAGGAGATGGAGAAGGGGGATGAATGTCAGGGGAAGGCATCTGAGCTGGGCTTTCCCCATGGAACATCTGCACTGGAGAGCTTTGGGTTCCTTCCCTTGGTGGGGGAGCACTGGGGGGAAGGAGGGTGAAGCTGGCGACCCCACAAGTATGTCACTGGCGAGGCTCAGATGTACCCGCGATGGTTCTGCTCCGCCAGTGCCTGGGGGCACCCTGAGGTGATGGGCCCTGGGCGGTCGGCCCCTTGTTTGGCTGTGGGATCATGGAACATGATATGTTTTCTGGACACCAGCGTCTTCATAATGGCTTGTGGGGCTGAGCTAGGCCCCCCACAACCATCTTGTTTGGGTTTTACCATTGGCCTCCAGACCTGCTCTGACCCCCCCAGCCACACACACCTCACGGCCACCCAGCCGCATCACCCTCTTCTCACCTATCCATCCAGACACTCACCCAACCTGCCCACCCACCCCCTGACTTCCCCTCCACCCAAACCATCTTCTCATTCGTCCAGCCACCCTGTCAACCTTCCCATCCATCAACCACTCACCGTCCCTACCTTCCCATCCATCCAACCTTCTCCTCCTGTTCCCAATCACTCTTTCCCATCGCTCCCACCATCCTCCGATGCCCTTATCCTGGCAGTCGCTGGTCACAACGCTTGGGGTGCAGATAAGAATGAGACCCATTGTGGCAGGTCTGTAATTCTTGCTCCGTCTCCCCCCAGGCCAGGATCGTGCCCCCCTGCGGCTCAGAGCCATGAAATCCCTGATCTCTTGGGTCTCTGTACGGCAATTCCTCTTCATCTTCCTGTACCTGCTGGTTGTCCTGGGCATTGCCCCCTTCCTACATCTGCAGAGCCAGTTCCACCCCCAGGGGCAGAGGATCCCCTCTCCCAGTGACCCACGGCAGCCCTCACCCCCGGAGCAGGGCATGTGGACCGTGAACTCCCTCGGGCGCCTGGGGAACCAGATGGGGGAATATGCCACCCTTTACGCCCTGGCCAAGATGAACGGGCGCCAGGCCTACATCCTCCCGGAGATGCACCAACAGCTGGCGCCGCTCTTCCGCATCACCCTGCCCGTGGTCCCCGGCGACATGGTCCAGAGCATCCCATGGAAGGACTATGAGCTCCACGACTGGATGTCGGAGGAGTACAGGCACATCGAGGGGAAATACGTCCAGCGGACCAGCG